GACCTAAGAATTACAATTCTAATTCCATAATTTCACCTCCTATTCGGGTTAGTACGCGGATCCTAGCGGGTAAAAAATTAAAACCGGGTCAACTAGGTAAGCGGCCCTCTCTCGCTATCTAATTAGACACTTTTCCTCAACCGCAAGTACCTCTAATCTAATTGCTCTGCGTCATCCCCTTCACCTCCACCCTAACATTTTCCCTCTTCCACCACCGTCTCCGGCATCGCTCTGCCACGCATCTACCCATCACCTCAGCAATCGCGAACAAAGTGCAGGATTCTCAAATATTTTGTATATATTGAAGCCGTCTAGGGGAGGATTCTCAAATATCTTTTACTGCTCAACTCAACGGTAAGCGCATTTTCCTTTACATTCAACGTTCTTCCTGCATTATATTCGTCAAATGAAGTTTTTTGTAACTTGATGGTTCTGGACATCCGACGATTTGAATTGTGTTGTGGGATTTGGATTATGATTGATATTTGTTTTTTTATTTAAAGAAAAAATAAATTTACTGCTGCTACTTATGAATCGCATTTGCTCCCCTAATATTTGTGAAATTAATTAAATAATAATAATAACAAATGGAATAGTAGAGGCTTTTTGAAGGATGAGTTGATGAGGATTGAGTGAGTGGCTTACCGCTTACTCTCACGGTAGAAACAGAAGCTTGCGAAGGCTTCTCTTGCTTTCAATTGCAAAAAGTGAGTGTTTTGGGATTCTGATGATTCTGATCCTGGATTGCATTATTTACAGACATTCTGCATACAGGGGGATGCAATTTTGTTTTTTTATTTTTTTTTCTTTTTCTTGGTTGGTATTTTGAAGAAATAATTATACCTTTCCTTGCATTTGTGTGATTCCTAAATCTGATCACGTGAACTGCATTATATAATTTCATTCTATTTGGACAATGCATCTTTTATTGAGTTGTATTTCACTTCGTTGATTCACTTCTGATGTAATTAGTAATGAATGATTAAAGTAGTTATTTGCCTCTGTATTTGAACTTTTAAGCTTGCTCCTGATGCTGTATTTACATAACATTTCTTGAATTTGACATTAAAAAAAACACTACTAGTATCCAGTTTTTTTTCCCCCTTTTGTTTGTGGCTTTGTAATACATTGTTCATGGTTCTTTGTAGATTGAATATTCAAGAGATAATTTCTAGGATCTACATTCACATTACAGGCAGAAAAATTATCTCATTCAAGAACGTTTTGTCTACAAAAAATTACTGCTACAAGTTTAAAATTTCACTGCATTATAATGATTCGACCTCTAAACATCAGGAAGTGGCCTTGGCTAAGAACCTGACTTCGTGAATCATATCCACATGTTTAAGACTGATAATGGATGAAATGCTGAATCCGAAGCTAAAGTATCCTCCTTCAAGACACTGAGATCATAAACACAGAGAATGCAGATTACACCCTTTTTATAAAATCTATTTGTTGGCTGTTATGATCAAGTATATAACGTCTCCAGTTCACACTCCAAGGCTGTTGGCTGTTATGACCAAGTGTCAGATTAAAAAATCTTCTTAAAACCAGTTATACTCTTCTTAACTTAGTATCTAGAATCATAGAAGGAATCACAAATTTACTTTGACAGAGCGAATTTTTAGTTCTATACTGCAGTGGCTGTTGAAAAACTTGCTGTCAGGGCCTGAAAAATCTTTTATGTATCAGCTCAAGGCTGCTAAATTCTCGTCAATGGACATGGAATGTGATGAATGTTTGTTTTGGACTATTTAATGCTGTCATAAATTCTCTCACACACTCTCTCTTAGCGTATATTTAAATGTGTTTGATTGTTCCTAATATGTTACAGGAAGGCTTGTTTAACCTTGCCCTGCATTTAAGTGAAGTCGGTGCATTCTTCTTGATAGCAAAGTTGTGGGCTGACATGAAGTTGGGCATGCTTAAAGGCTGAAGATCGTCACTTCAGTCTTCCTTGTATCTGTGGTTTTATAAAGGTATTTATTTTCAAGCACTTAGAATGCTGTGAATAGGTTTTTGATGTGAAAATTATAGCTCTATCTCTGGCTTTCATGTTTCAACTATTGAGCCTGGTAATAACGGTTCAATTTTGACACTAACTAGAACAGTTGTCCTGCAGTTCTTTGTGTATGTTTCTGTATATAATCAATTGTTACGCATATTTTAAAGCTTATGTGGTGTAACAGTTGGGCCTTCCCTGCAATTCATTGCTAGTTAGGAAATTGTAAATAGCTATCTTTATCTCACACACACACACACATATATAGAGGAGTTTCAAGGGGAAGATAATTAATCTTTTGTTCTGTAACTCACAGAATTGAGTGTAATAGTTTCCCAAGCTTGTTTTTCAAGGCAAAATGGGCAGTACCAAATCGAAACACTAACCTGATCATAGCAATGAATCACAGAAGCTAATAATTATGTTTACCAACAACTTGCACAAACTAATGAATTACAAAATTGTAGCTAATTCCTAAGCGATCTCTAAAGTATTAAAGGTGTATAAGCCAATATATTTGTTTCTGTCAATAGTTGTATTCACAAGCTGTAAATGTAATATTTCGGGAAAGGCAAAAATATTATTGCAGATTATTATGTCAGAGGTTTCATTAGCTATCATTTTAGCTTCAATTGACTATATAGAATTTAACAAACTCACTTTTTAAAATTTGGTCTTTTGACTTACCTTTTCTTATTGTTGTCATGATTTTGAATTGCAGAATTTGGATATTGACATGGATAAGGAAGGAGACGAGCAAAAAACAAAAAAGAGAAAAGTGGTAGTTGCAAATTATATGGTAACAGTAGCCACATTAGTAGTTTGGTGGCATGAGAAACATATAGTAAAGGAGCCTTACTTGGACTTTAAAGTAGCACGTGAAATATATCTAAGGCGTCTTTACTATGGAAACAATAGAGTTTGTGTAGAGCAACTTAGACTCAATAAACATTGTTTTACTGTTTTATGTACATTGTTTAATATTAGAATGGCCATTTATTGAAAAATAGTAGCAATGTATAACTGTGCTTTTCTTTCTCTTTTTTTTTTTGGCTAAAAACACGTTGTTTGTGTATTCATCTATTGAAATTTCTTGTAAGATACAAAACTCAAATATTTATAATAGGTACAAGTTATGACTTTCCTCCCAATTCATATCATAGAGTAGGCTTTTGATTTTCTAAAATTTAAAGTTCTTAACTTTAAATTTGTATCAAGGTTTTAACTCGATAAATATTAACTACTTTTTAAGTTAGAATATACAATTATTTTTTATTTAATATAATTTAATTTAAAAAAAAGAATTTTTTTATTTTTGCAAAAAAGGAACTAATTTTTTTTTCTTTTAAAGCTTTATTAACAATTAGTTAAATGCAAGAAAAAATAAATTATTAAAGGTACTAATTAGTTTTTTCCTTAAAGCTTTAGTAACAATTAGCTAAATGTTAAAAAATTATTATATAGTAAAAAAAAGAAATTTTTTATGTAAGGAAATATTAGTTGGAAACAATTCTAATTCCTAATGAATTCTTCTCTCATCCAAACAAAGAATTTGGAATTCCAAATAAATTCCGTATCAATTCTATGTATTTTCCAAACGAAAGAATTGCAAGGATTTGGATTTCAAATTCATAGAATTCAAATTCTATAGAATTCCAATTCTAATTCAATTCTAATTCTGTAGAACCAAACGTACCCTAAGTGCTGATTTTGGTATCAAGACTAGGAATTCTGTAGTGGGAAAGTTGGAGTCAAGAAATGTTATTGTTAACGTACGCTGAGAATTCCTAAAGCTAGCCACGGGATGCTAAGGCATTAAGGGATGCCCAGCCTAGCCTTTTCCTTTTTTGTCCAAGAGTCAGGCTTTGTTTTGTACTTTTTAGAGGCAGCGAGTCAAAGCAAAAGTCCGGCAGCCTACTAGCTTTATGAAAAAAATTCCTTTAAAAAAAAAAATTCGGTGTCAGGTGCTGGGCTGTACCTGACACAGCCCGGCACCAATAGATTTATACCCAGCCTGTGTCAGACCGATAAGTGTCCGACCTTTCTATTTTTTTACCTATATTCTAAGTAATTAGCCGTACAATTGATCTGGCAGATGCTCAAAACTGAAGAACTTGCGTTTGCAATTTGAATACTCAAGTTCAACTTGATTATCTACTTAGGTTGAATCACATTAAAAGCTCGGTTAAAGTCCGAGATAAATTGAAATTACCGATACAGATGCGACATTTTGTAGTTTTAGTGGAACAAACGAACTTTCTTGAAGTTGAAGCAGATCCCTGGTATAGATAATTCACTAGAAAGTAAAATTAAAACTTGACAGTGATTCTTAAATGCATGCAGAAGGAAAAATGTGGCAGAATCAAATCAGGACCTTCATCATTAATAGATAATATTTTCATCGGTTAAGTTAGGTATTAAAGATATTATAAAGAATGTTTGCATTATTGCTCATATCTCTTGGCTATGGGCAAGGAAGTTGGATTATTTTCAAGATCATAGAAGCAGACTAGAAACACTAATAAAACAAGTAACAGTACACAATGTACAGGTGTTTTACTCTTCAAAGTGACAATTGGACCAGTAATTCAGGGTTGAAACAATGATACCAAATGCCAGATTCTTCTAACTGGAGACAGAGATAACCGCCCAACCTGGGTAGCTCGAGTGGTTTCGTTGCTCCTTTTTAGGATATGACGACCACGATTTGAGTTCAAAAATAATGTGTTCGAGGGGATTGAGCTCTCCTTTCGAGCTGCAGGGAAGTAGTCGGGTCGAAGACCCGAATAGAAAAAAAAAGAAAAAGACAGAGATAACACCTCACGTGTAGCAAGCAGTAGTGATATTACATATTTTTCTAATACAAAAAAAGTTTGAATCGGTCCAGGCGTTGAGCTACATCCCGGCTTGGATCAGAGCATGGCTCCGTTTCCCGGACCAATAACACGGCTCGGCTCCAGGACCATAGGTGGCTTTCAGGGCTCCTACCGGCAGTACTGCATATTTTAGTTGGCTAGTGACTCCAGCAAACATAGGAACAACCCAGGCTAAGAAATCCCGCTTCGCACCTCCCAATCACTCACTAGCCAACATTATCAATTTCTTCATCTAAATGCAAGCTGCTCTTGCAGCTATGGCCGCCCACGCTATCCTCTGTTTCACGGCCGTCAACCACCATCCTTTCCTCTCCCAACTCTCCAATCCCATTTCCGCTTCTTCTTCGCCTTCTTCTTTATCACTTCATTCCTCATTTCATGGGGCATCTCTCAAGCTTCCCCGCCAATTTTCCGCCGCCGCACCTAAGCCTCTCACTGTCGTGGCAGCCACCAAGAAAGCGGTTGCTGTCCTCAAAGGCTCCTCGGATGTGGAAGGCGTCGTCACTCTCACCCAAGATGATGATGGCCGCACAACTGTGACTGTAAAAGTTAATGGGCTTACTCCAGGGAAACATGGGTTCCATTTGGTTAGTCTTTTTATTCCTTAAATTTTGTTCCACTTTATTACTGTTAGCCAAATATCTATGGTTTGTCTTGCTCAAATTTCTTTTTTTTTTTAATTGGGATTTTCATAGCATGAGTATGGTGATACCACGAACGGGTGTATGTCAACAGGTTCGATTTTTATTAGTATTTAAAGCTTATTTTAGAGGAAATGATGGTTTATTCCTGCATTTTTCTGGGCGAAATCTGTTGGTGATTGTGGTTTACTGTGCATTAACAGGAGCGCATTTTAATCCGAAAGGGTTGACTCATGGAGCTCCTAAAGATGATGTCCGTCATGCGGGTGACCTGGGAAACATAGTTGCCAATGCCGATGGTATTGTTTAGAGATATTGTTTAGATTGATAGTTTTATTCAGTTTCAGAAATATAGAAGGCGTTTTCTTAGTGAATTGCAAAATAAGAAAAGAAATGTAACATGAAGGGAGGATATGGGGAAATGGATTTCTTACTCGTTGACTTTTAAGTTGATATTGCAGAAACCAACTTATATATTTATGGAGACCTAATAAAAGCATAAATATTTCTTAAATTCAAAGTTACTTACTGGAAGTAACCTGTAATTGTTTACTAAAGATTGGATCTTTTCGTTTTTAGCAGAGCTGATGATTGTGACTTTTTCTGTAATCCTGATGTTGTTCAATGTTATCCAGGTGTGGCTGAGGCAACCATCGTGGACAATCAGGTACATTGGATAACTTCATGCTGCTCTGACTTGTGTGTATGATCATATATTCACAATTCTTATTGAGGAATGTGATTCTATTTTCACGTGCAGATACCTCTGAGTGGTCCAAACTCGGTTGTTGGAAGGGCTTTGGTAGTTCATGAGCTGGAGGATGACCTTGGAAAGGGTAAAGTGACCGTTTATGTTCATATTTTATTCAAGATATATTGTTCTTGTTGTTTTTGAGTCCGTAGAATCTAAGGATAACCTAAATTGCTGCTGTTATGAGCTTTATTAGTATGTCATTATCCTTTCCTTTTGGCTGTCAATCTGTAGGTGGTCATGAACTCAGTCTAACTACAGGCAATGCTGGTGGAAGATTAGCTTGTGGTATGCAAATACATTTTCCTCCCACACTTCATTACTTGCTTATTTTAAGTTCCAGTACCTGCTTTCTTTTTTTCCTGGGGAAGCACAATGACTAAATCATGCACCTAATATTATGCCTAAGTTCCTTCCTTGACTGCCACCAGCTAGTTTATTGCTAGTTCCATTTGTGATGAATTACTTTTCAACTCTGGATAACAGTATGGAAAAAGTTTAGTTTATGGCTGTGGGGGAGGTCTTATTGCAATTCCACACTATCTATCTATGTTGCATAACCTTCACTGTTTGTTGAGGACCTTATGGAAAACATTGAAATAGTGTGGTTGTTGTTATTGTTCTTTCAGCTGAGATTCTTGTGACTTTCGTCTTGCATCATAATCTCACAGAAATTTTGCTGTTGATCCTTGTTTTTCTACATCATAACACTGCTAGTCCATTGAGTTGTAGGAGGTTGTTTTCATTTGAATTCATTTCCAATTGGTCTCTTTTGTTTTATCTGAAGTCAAATAATTAATCTGCTGGTCTTTTGTTAATGTCCTCTTTCCTTCTTCCTTTTTTTTCTGTTCCCCTAAAAAAATTCTGGATAAGACATTCTGACTATGATCGTCAGTATGCCAAAGTGTTGAGTCAGTTATAGAACTCAACTTTTTGTGCCATCACGAGGTTGACCGAGTGTGTCTGTCTTTTGTGCTTCTCTTGCTTGGAAATCTTCTACAAACCCATTTTTGTTGGATGTTTTTCTCCAGCCCTGGTGGGGGGAAGGTTTGGTTGGTCCCCTTACTGCATAAATTTTGGATGATGATTTACATGGTTAATGCACCATTGATCTCTTAAATCCTTAACGCATGCTTCCTTTCCGAACAAAGACATCTTGTGGAGGAGCATATTGTGGAGCATGGTTTTGGTTTTCTGCCACTAGAACCTTTGTCCTGCATCCGAGCAGTTATTCGGCCTTAGAAGTTAAGTCTTAGTTTTCTTCTCAAATAAATAGTTAAGTCTTAATTTTCTTCTCAAATAAATAGTAAAGTGATACGAAGCTTACATGCACAGTGCAAGCTAAGAAAGCATGGATTTTTTTGCATATCTACATCTTTTCATTGTAAAACTTATAGAATATTTGACCAGATTGCTGTCTATGTCTCATTTTGCATAATATTATTTAGCTTTATTGCATTTCAGCTTTACTTCTCATTTCAACTGTCGTATACAGCCCATGTAGATTAATCTTTCTTGTCACATCTAGATGAATCGATTAAGGTTCTTGAGTTAGTGCAGTGTAAAAAGAATATCTAGAAAGTCCTAATGATGTACTCAGAAGTGTGTCTGAAAAGAATATTGCTAGAATTTAAGTTTTCCCCTTAATGTCCCCATTCCCGTCCAAACATTCAGCATAGCTGATATTCTGAAGTCTCACCTGTTAGGGACCTTCCCAGATGCCCTTAAAAAGATTGGGCAATAAAATTTCATTCTTGTCAGATGCCATTGGCCACAGATTGAGAGAGCAAGTAATCATCATTGCATTTCATTTATAACCACCTTTGCTTGGGGTCAAACCCAGAATATCATAAACAGAAAACATGCATAACCAAGGGTACAGGTGATGCATTTAGTAGGTGCACAAAAACAAATTATGAAGAATGGGATGATGCATTTTTTCCAGAAAGTTGTCAATTTATTAAGAATATATACACATGTTTCTGTTGCTACAATTATTGGATTTGCAAATGCGATCAGTGTATGGTTGATCAGTTGACCTTTGGTTCAAGGAATATTCAATGGCAACTTTTATCTAGATACATATTTTCTTTTCTTAAATTAAGTCATAGGACTGATGTAGAAATCAAAATCACGCCAGTGTACTTCCAAGACTTTGAATGTGCCTGTTTCCAGAGGCTTAGAGATTATAGCTTCCGTATGCCATGCTAATGTGTGGTTCTTGGGAAAAAACTTCTTACATCGCTCCATTCTGCATGTGGCTTTCTTGATCAAGTAATGCATTGTTCCAGAACTTGTTTATGTTAGTTTATTATCTTAGGACCCAAGCTGTTTAAGGGCAGTTTTTTTTTTGCATTTTTCGGGTATTAATAGTTCAACAGACACGTCATGAGCTCCTCTTTATGAAGGTTGAATCCTGGATGCTATCCTTTGTGTTTACTTTCTTTCTTCTTGTTGAAATTTTTTGAAGCGAGTTGGTTAATATGCCTCAAGGAGATCCTTCCAGTCTGTAAATAGCATTCATGAGGAAAAGGTCTAGTTCACACAGAGGTACATGTACAGTTCCTGTACAAACAACTTTGTTATTCCTCCGTACCTAGTGATGCCACAACTTTTTCCTCCTGTATGATGTTTTCAAGACTAGGCATGTACATATAGTAGATAAAATTCCACAGTGCATGATAACATGCCTCTGGTGTAATGATGCTTTAGAAACTACTAATAGTTCGATTAGGATGTGATTGGTTCTTGATCTCAACAAAGGGCTCTAGAAAAGGCTTCTCATGATGGGATGCAAAATATTGGTATACCTGGACGATCTAAATTCTTTCATATTTATGTGCCTTATCCATGATTTGTTGGTGGTTTCACTTTCACCTGCTATGCTTGATCCTGTTTTATTTAAGATAGCTGGCATACTTTATCATCTGATCTTGTCTGCAGGTGTTGTCGGTTTGACTCCCATATAAGTAGCTAGCTTGGACCTAAAGATCCCATCGGTAAACACTTGTGGTGTTTAAAGTTTGATATGGAGTTGAATGGAGAGGATGTCCAATTGGAAGAGCAACTGATTGTTGTCTTGTGAAGATGCAGCTAAATGCTGTATGAACGAATTTGCATACTATTTGTTTACGCTTAAATGAAGTGAATAAATTTCAATGCTTGGACTTAGATTTGTGGATATTTTTCTGAACTCTCAGTATTGTTCTTCCTGAATGACTTCGGTTATCATTTTGGCTTTACTAGCGCATTAGCCTGATCTTGATGATTAACACCAGTGTTTGAATTCCTCCCCTCTCCCCTCTCACGGCTCCATGCTTGACAGCAAAATCCTTAACAATAAGAAGATCCACCTTCTTGCACTGCCTTCCTAGCTGTTTCTTTTACGGCCTTTGCTTGACCTCTGATGTTAAGGGCTTTTTCTCCAACCATAATACGATCCACTGCCTTGGTTAAAGCTTCTGCTTTGATGATTTCAGTCGTGATTCTGCTCCATTCCTGAGCCCCGACGCCAACAGACATCTGTCAACAATTTTTCATTGAAAAACTGCTCTGCAAACAAGGGCCATGCAACCATTGGCACACCACAACATACGCCCTCTAGAGTTGAATTCCATCCACAATGAGTCACGAATGCTTCCACAACTGCATGCTCAATAACGGTAGAATTTGAAGCAAAAGGCATTCAAAGAGATGCAACTGAAACTAATGCCCAGACATGAAACTGTTATTAACTTCTTCCACTAATGTTCTGGCAAACCACATGTTCTCCAAACCTTAATTGGAAACTAAGGAGTTTTAAGTAATTACACCAACAAAAGGCTATTATTAGCACTTGTACCAATTGCTTGAACGGTCACTACAACAAAATGACATTCCCAAAATACCCATCCCCAATTAATTCATGACACTAATTGTCAACAAACCACTCTCTCCTGAGTTTAATTACTAACTAAGAACGTTTACATAAATTCAGTGAAACAACTGTTGTTGTTACTTGTACCCACTGCTAAAAATACAATTAAAATAATGGTACATTCCTACAATACCCGTTTCTTTTGCAAACAACACTTTATGGGCATTCACCACACAGAAGACCATATATGCCAAAGCTAAAAACAAAAGTTGAACCAACAATTATACTCTGCGCTATAACAACACTCCAAACAATCTTACAATCCCAAAAAATACCCCAACCCTTGCGGTTGAAATTCAAAAGTCATTTTGTCCTAAGTTCGTTCTTATACAGTATAAGGAAACGCATCGTTAGAGGTTGAAGATCTATCATCTCCACGCGTTCTCCTGCCTCCACTTCAAAAGATTCCAAAAACACATTTAACATCACTACAATGCCGCCATCGGTTGGTGCAGTTTAGGTACAAAAGAAACATCATGTTTAGGACTTGGGATGTCGAGGAAATGCTAAATAAATAATAGATGCAAAAATTTGCATGACAACTGATAAATCTAATCAAGCTTTTTATAAGGTAAAGATACTTGATAGTAAAACCTTTAGTAAATCCAAAAGGCATCTTGGCAACTTTGTCTTCCTTTTCTTTAGTAAGAAAAAACTTTGCTGGTTTCAACTCCAGTCATTACAATGGTCAGGATAAGTTTTTGGGAAAATAAGTAGATTATCTACTAACATATATAATTTTTACATAAACTAGCAAAATTTAGGTGAAAAAGTTACCTATTCTTACTAATTGATCCTACATGTGTAACAATTGTGTCTACAAATGATGCTATAACCATACATACAGATCTTTATCTTCCCCCAACACTCCCCCGCCCCAACTAAAGTATGCGGATCAGCCAAAAAGGGTTCAAGGATTACTGAAATACATATTCCAAGATTGATGGGAAATTTACACTTGATCAAGACATGTCATTAGATTGTGATTTATCAGAGCAGTGGTGTCACCATATCGGGCCTCTAATTAACTCAAACCATCAGTCGCTGTTGTTCATATTTGATCCAAGAACCTACTAGTCAAGTGGAATAAAAGATTTCCGAGTAAAAGGACTTTTAGGGTGTTTCAGTCCACCAGTCACCAGATGAGCCAATTGCACCAATGAAATTTAGCAATTTTTTCTAACAATAAATGTTACATGATTACTCTACTGTTTCTCGATCTATTATTCTATTCATTGAATAGTAAATGATCAATATTTGGTACTGTGTGAGTGCGTGTGTTGTGAGGGAGTGGGATACCATGCTACCAAACCAGAGGGAACAGCGTAACAGTGGCGTTGTTGCACTGCGTCGCCTTACTACCATACGTGCTTCTCACACCAAGCCATCCCTTATTTATTTGTTACGCCAAGAATCTCCCCACCCCATCCAAATCTCATTCTTGACTTTTTCGCTTCTTAATTCCTTTAATCTTTTAAAATTTAATGGGCACCATGCCATCCATTTGAAGTTTCTCATCGCCGGTTTGGATTATTAAATCATCTCTCCCGAGGGTTAGTTTCTTTTATCTAATGGCCTCCATTTTCTTGCTGATTGCAGTTTTTTCCTACATTCTTCACGCATGTTGAACTCCATTTTTCTTGCTGATTGCAGTTTATCCTACATTCTTCATGCATGTTGGATTAGATGAAGCCTAAATCATGTCTAACTCATTCCTATTTCCCCGAGTCCGAGTGCAGTTCGTTCAACTCCTTCATTAGTTAATTCGCTTTCTTAATATGTATAAATTTCTACTTGGCTCTAGCGATTGGCTTTTCCAGTTTAACAACCTCTCTATGATTTACTTCTTTCATTCATCTCTTGTTATGAAAGTTCGAAATTGAGATTAATCTCAATCACTATTTGTAAATGAATGAAAGAATATTTAATTAGCTGAGGTTTTATTGTGTTAATTTCCATCGACGCGTGGTTTTCTGAATTGATTTTCGCATCACATAATAGTCAGACATGGCTTTTCCTATGACTTGATGCCTCGCAGATCAAGTTATCAGGAAATTTTACTATACAATAATGTAAAATTAAATGTCATGCCTTCCTTCTCATTTTGTGATGCGGATTACTTGACATCAGTCGTTTGACTATGATATAAACTAGAGTTTCATCATCTCTTGATAACGTAAACCTAATTTTCGATAAGATTAATTTTAGTGTTTTGGAGAAAAGCTAATTGGATTGTCTAAGATTAACATTGTATATAAATGGGAACCATAAAAGTTATACTGGTTGAAAGCTCAAAATTTATGCAGCAACGAGTCTTGTGCTAATGTAATTAGAGATTGGCAGAGAAGCAGTGCTCATACAAATTTTCATTGGCTGAATCTCACACGAAATAGAAAAACTAAGGATGATAAAGCAATTCTGGTTGAACCTAAGCTAGCTTCTGAGATTATATCAATTCTTTTGAGGGAAATTAATTTAAGAGTGTAATTTAATATCTGTGGATATAAACTGATTATTGGGACTTGCAAAGATACAATCAAGTAGGCTATTCTTTTAGGCGAGCGATGTATAATCAAATCGTGTTGGACGATTTCCATAAATCCATTAATCAAACATGCTTTGTATATATATAAATATATATATATATATATATATATATATATATATATATATATATATATATATATATATATATAAGTAGGCTATTTAGTAGTGACATTTATTTATTTATTTTTTAAATTCTGGCTGCCCAACTATAGGTACCTACTCTCACCTTTAAGAAATGGAAGTTGAACATTTATATAACAAGAGATTAGCACAATACTTCTTACAGTAATAGCATTTTTTTGGCCAACTAAGATCAAAATTAAGAGCATTAATTAATAACTTCTTTTAAATTGTTTCACGAGCCTTATCTTCGTCCCAAGTTATCCCGATTGCTCGGATGAAAATTGAATAGAATCCGAGACTGCAACCATAAGCAGTAAAAGCTTCGGCATATGGTACCTAAAAAACCAAACACTAGAAGCCTAATAGAAGGTATGCCATTCGAAATCTTTAAATACACGAATAAAAGTTGATGTTCAGACACATCTGTACAATATTTATTCATGTAGACAATTCATAAGTAATTCTATCAGCAGTTTTTTTTTTTTTTTTTTAATTAAGCAGCCAACCCATCTGACTACCACATCGGCTGCTGTAGTTCACTTAGAGGAGGACCACTCACATGCAGCAGAAAAGAATATTGTTATTTGAAATCAACAAACTTTAATTATCAGATAAATTAATGTAAGTAGCATGTTACTGTCATATGTATAAAGATTAGGTGTCATCTTGGGATTTTGGGGCTCAGTAAATAGCAATCAAAAGGAGGGGATTTTTTTTTTTTTGGGTAGAAAAAAGTTTGAGCAGGTTCGTCTCCGATCACCACCACAGGTCAGAGCATATCTCGAAACTATAGGTCAGGAGTTCTTATAAATTATCCACCAACACTGCTCTTAAAAGTTATATCGGTAGCAGAATTCGAATACACGATCTTTCATGAAAAGTTGGTCCGTCCTTATTAATTGAGCCAACATAAGCTGATAAGAAATGGATCAAATTATTTGTAAGACACAAATTTTAATAAGTAACAATATTGATTGGATTAATCTTATATATATTGTCAGTGTATAAACTATATCACCGTTAAATATATGATACATGTGCAAAATTTGCTCATGTGTCATCCATCCAACCGTGTTAGTGTATACACTGACAGTGTATATTAAATTTACTCATATTGATTGTACTTTTGCACATTAATATTTTAGTGTTAATATTTATTGTCATAATAATTACATCTATTTTATAGTACGTTATATGGTTCACATAAAATTGATAATTGCAGAGGTCACAAAAAAAAAAAAAAACCGGTGTCATTGTTAACGGTTATGAATAAAGAAAATAAGTAATAGACTTTTGATGCTTAATTACCCAAGCCGAAGAAAATGTCCACTTGGGTAGAAACCAAGT